GGGATAAGTTGCATCTCATGGCCGATCCTCACAAAGAAAAAAAGTCATTTTCTTCATCAAACATGGCTAGATTTTATCTTATGTCCATCAACAATTATTAAAATAAAGAAGTGAAAAAACCAAGCAAACTAATCCAAGATAGAGCCAACCACAATCTTCGAAGAAATCAACAATTATCCAAGAGTGAAGAGTCTTAATTTATATTACTTTACAATTCTTTGTTTTATTATTTTCTTTAACAGTCCCTGATAGGAATTTGAGATTTGATTTCTAGATTTTAGACATCAAGTTCTATTGTAATTTTGTAGGCCTACCACTATAAATAGGCCTCTCTATTTAGTTGCATTCATTTAAGTTCAAGTTTAATTAAAAAAAAATTAAAGCTTTTGCTTTGGTAAGCCATCGAATTTTAAGTGCTCTTTAGGAAGGCTTTCTTCAACTTTTTTATTTAGTGAAGAATTGATTCTACTTATCAAGGTAACTCTTGTGGTGTTTTATCAATTATTATTTTTTTTTCCAATTAACTTAGTTCTCAATCCCAAGTTGATTGTGGGTTAAGTAGGAAAAATTTGTTTAGAAATTATGTTTTTATGCTACATTGTATGGGGTTTTTGATCATATTAGTTGATTTTGGGTTTCGTATAATTTATTTTTGGAGATAAAGAACCTATTAAATGAACAAATTACCTGTAACGTGTAACATACTTATTCTTATGAGATATCAGTACTTGTAGGACTTTCAATAGAAAAATCCGATCTGCAATTTCTTATTAATTTTTATGTAAATAATATGTTGATGTTTTGTTGATGGGCAAAATATGCAGTCCGGTGCAATAAAGTTATCTGTGGCTTTGCTCCTTTCTCTCACTGCAGGACCCAACACTGATTTCTTTAAGAAGACAATGCCCATAGTTTTGACTGCCTTTTCTGTTTAAAATAATCTATTTTGTTAATTCTTTATCTAATTTTATTCGATTTTCCATGCGAGACTGCTGGGACTACCTGGATCTTCTTTGCTATCATCTGTGCAAGTTATTGAAAATAATCATGCATTGTATTTGCAGCTAGTGCAGTGATATCTTCAGTTCTCAGTTTGGCTGTTTCTTTGACTACCTGAAGGGTTTACTGATTTTCAACATGGTTGTAAGATCATTTGTTTTGAAGCGACACATATCGACTTTGCCTCACCTATCTGAGAGAATAAAGCAAACCGGTAACGTTCATTATGCTATGCTTCCCTGTTAACATATATAGCTGAAAATGTTGGTTATCTTTAATGAAACTAACTGATGACAAACTGGTTTTCTTGATCCAATGCGCTAGTTGCTCTAACATACTTTTTGTTGAAATAAAAACATGTAAATTATGTATATGACACTAAGGGAGTGTCGCTATACAAAAATATTTACAAGTCCATTAGAACATCAAATACCCTCCCAAAATTGTCCCAACCATACACATCATGACCCAAAATTAGAGTTCCGAAACTATGCAATCATCTATCTCTAATTCTACTTGTATCCCTCACGCACCTATTGGTGCTTTATTGTTCATCTTTGTCCAAACAACCCAAAAAATAGTTAAAGAAATCAGTTTAACAATCTTTGATCTATTCCTTATCCCATCCCAAGCCCACAATTCATTTTTGACTGAGCCCCCAGTCACCCAATTGATACCCAATAAGCTGTACACCATATGCCATAAAGTATATGTCACTAGGCACCAAAGAAGGAGATGGTTGCGTGATTCAGTAGCTTCCATACGAAGATAGCACTCATTGACCATAATGTGGTCCGTTCTCATCAACTTGGCAATAGTGAGAATGCACTCCTGTTGCTTCCCAAGCAAGAAAAAAAACAATCCTCAGAGGCGTATTAGCTTTCCAAATCTGATAATCCAAAAATTTCAAGCCATTATCCTCCCTGTACGTCAAATAGTCATAGAAGGATTTCACAATAAAAATTTCATCTTTCTTAAACTTCCAAGTAGCCTTGTCTCTATTAATATCCAAATGCACATCTGCAAGAACTTGAATAAGCGTTATACACTCGTCAATCTCCCAATCATTCAAATTTCTAACCAGATCAATGTCCCAACTGCTTCTCCCATCCCTCCCCCTAAACATCTCCTCCACCATCACATTCTTCCTTATCACTAAACTATATACTCTTGAGAATTGGTTCTTAAGACCCCTCCCTAACCGCTCATCCTCCCAAAAATTAATAATATTACCCCTCCCAAGCTTCCACTTGTTATCATACTTAAATAACTTGTTATCTTTTATTTTTATCTTTTTGCTTATACTTTGTGATGTGAGTAAGGAAAGGAAAACTCCCATGGGATTTTCTTTCCTAATTCCGTAGGAAATCTTTCTTCTTAAGAGGGAGAATTGATGAAGGAAAAAAATTGATCATGAATCGCAAGCTTGTTTGAGAAAAGAGGAAAACTCCTTAAATGCTAAATCTTACGAAAAAGAAAAACATATTTTAATTCATTCCCCTAAATCAGCAATAATTAATTTAGATCTTTCTTATTTAAAAAGATTTCTACGAAAGGAGATCATATCTATAATATTTTAGTTGTAATTCTCTTAACTTTGGTAATTTTCTTATTCTATTTTATATTTAATTTTTTATATAATTTTTCCTTTAAATTAGGATACTATTTTTCTTATTATTCACATGACCTACATTTTACATAGGCCATCAATTTCTACTTCTAATAATTCAAGTTTGAAAATAATAAAATTACGAGTTTTTAGTTTTCAACTTGTGAGGTTTTCGTCAACCTTCTTGTTGTGTGAGAATTGATTCAACTTATCAAGATAAGTTCTTGTGGTGTTTTATCAATCCCTCTTGAATTGATTTAACTTATCAAGATTCTCTCTTGTGTTATTTAATCGATTTAAATCATCATCCCAATAATCTTGATTTTCATTCCTTTGTTGAGTAACGATCAAGTAGAGAGAGTTTACTACGATTTGAATTTCTCATTATTGATGTACATGTAGGGTTTGAATTGCGCTGTTGATCTCGAGTTCCGCATCACTTTGTTTACTCATTTGACAATATTGTTATTAAGAAAAGAAATAATAAGGGCTTGACCTTTTATCCACTGCTTCATCTTTTATCCACTGTGCATTTAGAGGATAGCAATGATCAGCTTGTGTGGAAATTAGAAAAGCAAGGGAGTTCATTGTTAAGTCTTTCTACAAGTTTTTGAAGGGAAGAGATGAGAGGGGGTCGGATCATTTTCCATACAATCAGATATGGAAGATGAATGTGCCGCCTAAAATTGCTTTTTTTGCATGGGAAGCAGGAAGATAATGTATATTGACCTTTAACAACTTGATGAGAAGGGGTGGAAATTTTGTTAATGACTGTTATCTTTGTAAAGAGGTGGTAGATACATGCAACCACATTCTTCTTTAGTGTCCAATGGTTTATGATTTGTGAACCATGGTTTATGCATTATTGGGGATTAATTGGGTCATTGTGGGATTGGTAAGGGATGAACTTAGGGCTTGAGAAGGTATTTGTTAAAAGAGAAAAATTGTACATCTTATTCCTTTAACTATCTTTTGGGTTGTTTGAAAGGAAAAAAACATAAGAATGTTTGAGGGAATTGAGAGAGAGATGTATAAAGTTAAGGATAGATGGTTATACTATTTTGACTCAATGATTCTGGAGCATGACATTTATAGAATGGATGATTTTGGAAATATTATAAATATATTTATTAAGATATAAATATTTTTTATACTGGTGGCACCCCCTTGTATCATATTATTAATATACTGTTTATATTTTTTATTTCAAAAAAAAGAAAAAGAAAAGAAATAACAGGGGAGATAGAGACGCAAAGAGAAGAGGAAGAAATAGTGTTCTAATTTTGTCCATTTTACATAATTCCTTCATAGAATGAGTTGTACCCCTTTTATACTCAATATTTTCCCTAGCTTGCAACTAACCAAGTAACAAACTTAACCACCTCGTACTTTTCCATGTATCAATATATCCCCTCCCCCTCCCACCCACCCCTCTTTGAAAGTACCTTGCCCTCAAGGTGGAGAATGACATTTTGCAAAGATGCTTTTATGGTACGTGTTCCCCATCATCTATTAGGCGAATCATATCAAGTTGGAACCCAAGCTTTTAATCCTTCCAATGATTGCAGAAAAAACAAATTCCTTCTTTCTGTGTTGTACTTTGCCAAAGTTTTCAACTGCATTTTCAGCATGCTTTTATGCATTGCGATTCTTAGCCAAATACGGGAACAACTATAGTTTAACTCATTGACTTATTTGGGTTAAAAGTGTCATACAACCAATCATCAACAGCGAGTTGCTACCAGTATAGATAAGAAAGCCATTTATTTGAAGGGATTGTTTCTACTTGGAGGTATGAACCTCCATTAGACCTAGATTTATTGAGCCTTTCCTTTATTTTCAAATCTAATTGTATCCAAGTGTACTTGAGGATTCTTGTTGGGACTAACACAAGAATATACCTAGTTTAAATCAAGGTTGCGAAGGTTTGGCCGAGGAAATGGCTTTAGTCTCTTCTCCATAGTCACTATCTGTTGGACCTTCAACATAGTACATTAGAGCCAAATTTAGAGAATTGTAAAATTTCTGCCCTATTGTGCTCTGTGCCATCTTCACCATTTCCATGTTATGTTTGTACCATGCATGATACAAAATGGATGAGTTATAGATTTCCCAAATAGATAAGAAAATCATAATTGTGCCAAATATAAAACTATTATACTATTTAGGAGTTCGTTATTATATTAAAAAATTGTATTAAAATTCAAAATATATATAATATACTCGCGAAGGTTCAGATTCAGGGCACTAGGAGAGGCGAGGGCTAAGTGACTGAGGAGAGGAGAGCTGGAGAGGGCTGAGAACGACGACTACAAATGAGGCACTGGCTGCTGGACTGGCTGGAGGAGCAGCAGCCAAGACTGAGGAGAGGACAGCTGGGGAGGGTGACAACTATGAGTGAGGCGCTGGCTGGGTTGGCTGGAGGAGCAGCTGAGACTAAGGAAAGGAGAGTTAGAAAGGGCTTAGACTGACGAGTAAGGCCCGAGAGAGGGCGAGAGCTGAGTGAGAGTGAGTGAGGAGTTGAGGAGAAGCGAGATCAGACAGTTTACGGCAGGTGCAGGACAAGACTTGTCGAGTTGAGGATGAAGAAAGGAGCTTAGGCCCGAGCCACGACTTCAGACTCATTTACAGGAGTTGAGTCTTGAGAGAGGGGCTTAACCTAAATACTTACGGTTTCTACCAAACACATCCGGTATAGACCCTGTTTTCCACTTTGGACTAGGATTTGCATACACTTAGCAATTATGCTTTTTAGGACTACTTGCACAAAGGTGAGAAAACAATGCAAGAAGCTCCAAGAAACCTTGATAAAGTGATTAATTCCCAACTTTAGAAACATGATCAATATCCATATGGATAGGTATATCAAGAAGATAGGTCATTTGTCCATATGTTTTAAGTATTGGAAATGAGCCAAGGGGGTCTGCATGCAAGGAGTTGGGTAAATGTTAAACTTCACAAAGTCACCAACTTGAAAAGGATCGTGAACAGAAGGATCAAGAAAAATAGGGGTCTTGAAGTGCTGGGAACATGTGAGAGGAATTTGGGTTATGGTAGGTGAAGAGATGTGTTCACAGGTTGTAGCAGCCTGAGTTTCTTGATACTCTTTAGGGTCAGTAACAGGACAACTTGGGAGAAACAAGACAAGCAGCAACAACAATTTTCCTATTATCAACTTCATCTTATCACTTGACTGTTAGATGGGATCAACAATTGTGTTCTAATAATAGGCGAATCAGAAGATTCGTGTTTTACAACCAAAGCACGTGAAGGACACCCAGGAGCAATGTGACCGTTCTCATGACAACAATGGCACTATATTGCAGAACTATCGGATGCAGTAGGATGGCTCAGCTGTAGAAATGGATGAGGAAACAGATTTAGAGTGAACTGACTCTCCTACCAAAGGTGCCACTTTATGCGTATTAGGAAATTTGAAATACTTCTCTATTTCGAGGGCTTCTTGATAGGCTTCTTCTAAAGACTCGAGAATGTACAAGGGAAGTTTTCTTTTAATTTCAACTCTTAGATTATTGATGAACCTACAAACAGTGTTAAAAAGGTTTTCTTCAAGTTCACAGCTAAGCCTGAGTTCCTCAAACCGGGGGATGTACCCATCTAGACTATCATTTAGTTGCTGTAAATTCAATCGTTTCTTAAACAAGCTACTGTATATTAGGTAGGAAGGCATTTTTCAACTTTTGTTTCATAACATCCTCCACCCACATTGCATAATAGGTGGATCTCTTTGATGCTCTAAGTTTCACTAGATTGATTGTCAGTACTTCCTAGTAGATCCTACGAATTACATTGTGGTAAACCTTACACACCTGATGTCGGACAAACCATACCACTCAAAATAATCTTCTAAGGCATCTAACCGAACCAAGAAAATACTAGAATCTAATGTACCATCATAGAAAGGAACATCAACATTGATCCTTTTGACTTCTGCATGCCTAGCATTTCTAGGTGGGACTCTATCATGAATGGATTGTCTATGGGGAGTTTCATGAGTCATATTCTAATTGGTTATTGTCAAAAAGATTTCTGCCTTGTGGGATCTGGTTAGGACGCCTAGGAAAATTACCCATGATTGACTTACAAAGGCACACATTATTTTGAGGTGCTGCAGTAGGAAGAATACCTTTGTGCAAACTCAAGAAAATTTTGAGAATTATCAGGCTGCCTTGTGGAGAACTCGTTGTATTCTTTAGGTCATCTTTCCAAATGTTTAAGGAGGTGAACCATTTATAGCTCCAACTTAGTAAGTGTAGCGTCTGGGTTATTAAGGGAGATTGAAGAGGCGGTACAGTCTAGGATAGTTATTAGGTGGTAAGGAAAGGATAAAAGTCGAGAAACAAAGTGGAAATTATTACCTTAAGAACTTCAAAAATTCCATATTTTGCAATAGGGCTCAACTCAGAATTTGGCTCAGCTCGGCTCTGGCATTCAGCTCGGTTCTGGTGGTTTGGCTTGTCTCATACTTGTTTCACTTGCAAGGATAGGCTTGTGCATCTTTTGCACGTCTTTCTAGAGGCTGTTACCAGCTGGATTCAAATTAGAGGTAGATCTGCGGTTCCTCTTCTCAATTATGGAGTTGAAAAGACCTGGCAAGATCTTAACTTCACCAATGATGTTAGCAGCTGCTGAGGAGGTTCTTGCACAGTATGTATAGGGCTGTCAGGTGACACCGGACGACGAGGCTCTAGCAGAACGCCGATCGGAGTCGTCTATCCTGTTAATGCAATGTAGAGGCAATGTTGAAGAGAATTAGAAGCTGAAGTGATGCTGGGGCTCGGCCTGGGGCTAGGCTTTTCGTGATCTGGGCTTTTTTTTTTTTTTAAAATAAAGAGTTGGGCAGTAGATGGTGATAGCGTTCTGGTGATGATACCAATTGATGCAGGATAAATTATGTTAGAACCACACATATCGTACAAAGTAGGGAAAAAAAGGATTATAGGAAAAGATAAAGGAGAATAGATAGATTGAGAGAAAAGAGGGCTAAAGGTAAAGATTTTAAAGGAAGAATAAGGAAATATTGGATAGGCATAAGAGAGGCAGAAACAACAGGAAACGTTAGAAATGTGAAATAACTTCACTGGAGAACTACCAATTCCAAGCTTGCATAAAGTGTTGCTTAGAACCCTTTTTATCACTTCTAATCTTAACAAAAAATGAAAATAACTAACATGAAAAAAATCCAGAGTTTCTAAAATTTCTTAAATAACTAAATAATCAAATCTTCTAAAAGTCTTATTTCCTAATAGAAAAATCTCTTCAAGTGTATTAAAATCAGGCTTCTTATTTAGGCTTAGAAGGTTCTGTGTCACTTGGTCAAACATTCGTTCAATTTTTTTTGCTATCAATTTGTTCCATTTACAATGTGCTGTTCGTTCAATCATAGTTTTGTATTTACTTAACAAGTGACGGTTCAAGTGCGAATCAAAGTGGAACAAGAAAGAGAGAGTGGGATATTCACTTGCCCAAATCAAGATCCTATGTGATTGTTATTAAGAAAAGAAATAACGAAGGGGTGATAGAGAGAGCAAGAGAAGGAACACATGGACATAACATGAAGAAAGAGTATTCCAGTTTCATTTATCTAACATAATTCCTTTATAATGATCGCCTCACCTAATTCTATGAGTTGTGAGAAGAAGAAATATTTTTGGCTATTCTATGGCCAAAGCATGTGGATTTTACCCCATCACAAGTGTATGGGAGCTCCATAGAAATTGGAATGCATTCATTTTCAGCACATAGGAAATTCAATGTTGAGTTTAGTTCCTTGGTATTCTTTAAATTGTTCTTATGGGAGGATGTCTTATCCTTTGTGCGTGTATCTGTCTCCTTTTTATCTAATAAAAGTTTCTTCTCTTATCCTTAAAAAAATGGATTTTACTGCTTCATAGCCAATATTTCCCTAGCTTGTAACTTAATGGCTAACCCAACTACCTCATAGTTTTACACATATCTGATATATGCAGTTAAGTTTATTTGCTTGAGAAGTAAGTTACTGAACAAAATATGAAATGTTTAGAAAATAAAATGTGTTTAATCTTTTAATTTAACATTCATTTGGTTTGCACTAGCAGAGAATGAGATTGTACAAATGTTCCTGGTACAAAGTCCTGATAATAGAGTGGAAAACTTGCCAATGAATCGAAAGTTGTTAAGGAGGGATCTATCAGTCCGGAGGTTAGACGAGAGGTTTATAAGAATTTTGAAAATATTCAAATGGGGGCCTGATGCGGAGAAGGCACTGGAAGTACTTAAGCTGAAAGTGGATCATAGATTGATTCGTGAGGTTCTCAAGATAGACGTGGAGATCAGTGTTAAAATCCAGTTTTTCAAGTGGGCAGGGAAGAGAAGGAACTTTGAACATGACTCTACCACATATATGGCGTTAATCCATTGTTTGAATGAAGCAAGGTGTTTTGGTGAACTGTGGAGGACAATCCAGGATTTGGTTCGTAGTAGATGTGTTATTAGTCCAGCAGAACTGTCTGAAATTGTGAAAATATTGGGTAGGGCAAAGATGGTGAATAAAGCTCTCTCTATATTTTGCCTTATCAAAGCTCGACGATGCAAACCAACATCAAATACTTACAACTCCGTGATCTTGATGCTAATGCAACAAGGTCAGTATGAAAAAGTTCAAGAGCTTTACAATGAGATGTGTAATGAAAGTAACTGTTTTCCAGATACAGTAACATTCACTGCACTTGTATCAGCACTTGGAAAATTAGGTCGTTATGATTCTGCCATTGGGTTGTTTGAGGAGATGAAGGAGAATGGCTTACAGCCTAACCCGAAGATATATACAATCTTGATGGGAATTTATTTCAAGTTGGGTAAAGTCGAAAAAGCTTTGGGCATAGTTGAGGAGATGAAAGCCAAGGGTTGTGTGCCTACTGTCTTTACTTATACAGAATTGATAAAGGGAATTGGTAAATCTGGGAGGGTTGCGGAGGCCTACAGTATATTCATGAATATGCTGAAAGAGGGTTGTAAACCTGATGTTGTGCTTATAAACAATCTAATGAACATTTTAGGCAAGGCAGGTCGTTTGGAAGATGTTATTAAACTTTTCAATGATATGAAGTCTTGGCAGTGTACGCCCAATGTTGTGACGTATAATACTGTAATAAAAGCTTTATTTGAATCCAAAGCTCCTGCTTCTGAGGCAGCATCATGGTTTGACAGGATGACTGCAAATGGTATCATTCCTAGCTCATTTACTTACTCAATTCTTATTGATGGCTTTTGCAAAACTAATAGAGTAGAAAAAGCATTGCTGCTTCTTGAAGAGATGGATGAAAAAGGTTTCCCCCCTTCTCCAGCTGCATATTGCAGCTTGATCAACAGTCTTGGCAAGGCAAAACGGTATGAAGCTGCAAAGGAGTTGTTTCAGGAATTGAAAGAAAATTGCGGGGATTCAAGTGCTCGGGTGTATGCGGTGATGATCAAACATTTAGGGAAGAGTGGCCGTCTGAGTGAAGCTGTAGATCTTTTCAATGAGATGAAGAAACTTGGGTGCAATCCTGATGTTTATACTTATAATGCGCTCATGTCAGGGATGGTAAGGGCTGGTATGATAAATGAAGCTCATTCATTGTTTAGAACTATGGAACAAAATGGTTGCAATCCAGATATAAATTCACAAAATATAATTCTAAATGGCTTGGCTAGAACTGGTGGGCCAAAGCGGGCAATGGAAATGTTTATAAAAATGAAAGATTCTAAAATCAAGCCTGACGCAGTGTCCTATAATACTCTTCTTGGCAGTCTTAGCCGAGCTGGAATGTTCGAGGAGGCTGCACAACTGATGAAAGAGATGACTTCAAAAGGTTTTGACTATGATCTCATCACTTATTCATCAATACTTGAAGCAGTTGGCAAGGTTGATGAAGATCATAATCCTGTCATTTAGTGGAGGGACCTAGTTTGATAAGATTCAAATTTGCAGGTTATTTATTACTCTTGTTGCTTATTGATTAGGCTCTTTTGTACCATAAGATTGTGTCCTATAATTTTTGGACTGTTGAATCATTACAACAAAAAGGATTTGGTAACTATCACTGCAGTCTTAACAACAATAGTAGAGTACATCTAGTTCACATCTATTATCCATGTTCATTGAAGATGTAGTTAAAATTTTTTGTTTCACTATGTTTCTCCTAAAGTAATAAATTTAGTGAAATTTGTAAATTTTTGCGATTAATTTTTGTAATTTGCTCTTCAATATCCATACCATCTCTATCCTTAAATTTTCAATGAAAAAAGGTTCTTGTGTTTGCTGCAAGTGATTTTTGGCAAGTGTTCCTCATGATCTTATCAGCCATTCCATCACTATCTCTTTCAGTATCAAGCAAATTTAGCAATTGTTTTTAGAATTTTCTCAATCTTCATTGCAGCTCCTGGGGTCTTATCAGAACCACAAAAGCTTTCACTGGTGTGGCAAAAGCCACCTTGAATATGAATTTTGTCCTTGAAACATTTATAAAATCACAAAAATATGAAATAGCTTGATGATTGGATGTGTCTATTGGCCCCTTGTTTGCTTCTTCTTCCTTTTTTTTTTTTTTTTAACAACTCCGTTTGGCTAGATCTTTTAGGTGGTCATCTTGGGCTCTTGCTAGATATATTAGGAGGATATTGTTGCAGGAGGAGAATATATAGTCTCAAGGTATTTTTGCTGTTTTAATTACATTGGACTTCTTCACATCCTTATTTTTAAGGATATTCTAGATTTTAGGGCACTGAAATTTTAGCCCTTAAATCCTTTTGGTGCTTGGACTAAAAGCTAAGTTTTGGGTTTGAGGTTATTTTTCTGATTATTTAAATCCTTTTGGTGCTTGGACTAAAAGCAAAGTTTTGGGTTTGAGGTTATTTTTCTGATTACTTATAGACTGGAGAATCAATTATATGTTAATAATGCGCTCAAACAAAATTATCAGGAAGGAATCTTTCTGCTGTTTTTGGTTGGAGTCTTTCTCAGTTAGATGTCATGAATACTTTTCTACATGTTGAGTTTTTTGAGGAAGTGTCTACGACTCTTCCACCTGGTTACTCTATTGGAAAGGGGGAGATCGTGCCTCCCAATGCAGTTTTTGGACTGTGTAAGTTGATTTACGGATTAAAACAAACATCTAGACAATTGTTCCAAGTTCTTAACTGTCTTTATTCAAGAAGGGTACAACAGTTCAAAATGTGATCGTTCTTTATTCACAAAGATGCATGGTAATTTGTTTCTAGAACCACTCAAATATTTCCTAGGTTTAGGAGCAGCAAGATGAACACTGGAATTTCAGTATGTGGAAGAAAATATGGTGTGGACTTATTGTCTGAAACTGATTATATGGGCTACAAACCTTATTCCTTCCCATGGAGCCAAATTTGATGATTTCACAAACTCATATGGACTTGCTTGAAGACTCACATCTTACAAAAAATTGTCAGAAAGTTCCTATATTTGACTATTATGAGGATTGATTTTGTTACTCTGTTAACTGGTTGAGTCAATTTTTAGCAGCTCCAAGAACTAAACAGCTTTAAGCAGCTATTAGTATCCTGCAGTACAGAAAAAGAACTGCTGTTTAGGGCCTTTTCTTCTCATCCTCGCTGACAATTCAGATTAAGACTTTTTCATATGCGGATTGGGGCACTTGTCCAGACACTCGCAGCTCTCTCACTAGTTTTTGCATTTTCCTTGGTCTTCACTCATCTCCTGAAAGTCTAAGAAGCAACAAATAGTTTCTTTTTTTATTTTTGAAATAAAAGTGTAGTATATATAAATATCGGTACCAAGGAGTACCACCCATGTACATTGCATTTACATTTCAATTAGGTAGTTAATGACATCCCCAAAATCTTCCATGCTTTCTTATGTCATGACTCAGGAATATAAATGCAAAAGTGTAAAATTATTTATCGCTAATGTTAACAAAATTTTTTTTAATCCCCTCACTCTTACATTTCTTTCCTTCTACGCCACCCAAAAAATAGAACTAGGAATTAGAGATAAATGTTTCTTTTTTTTGCACAGCCCCACCCAAGCCCATAGTTCTTCCATCACAGATCCCGCTATTACCACTGAATCCCCAACAGCTCGTATATCATGGTCCATAAACTATACACCATTGGGTACCATAATAAAAGGTGGTTGCATGATTCTGCACTTGATTTGCACATTAAACAATGGTTTACCATACACCAGCCCCTTCTCATCAGCATGTCAATTGTCAAAATGCTACCCTTACAAACTTCCCATGTGAAGAACGCCATTCTTGGTGGAACATTTATCTTCCAAATCTGTTTAAATGGGAGAGCAGAAGGGCTACTACTTACCTCGTTACTGATCTGCCCGTAGAATGATTTAACTGAAAAAGTCCCATTTTTTTCAAGCTTCCACATCCTCTTATCCTGCTGATTGTTCATGTTAACATTAGACACATAAAATAACAGCTGTTGGTACTCATCCACTTCCCAGTCATTTAAATTCCTTGTGACTTGTACATCCCAAACTCTCTATCCCCATTAACCGAGTATGCTTCCTCCACAAACATGTTTTTGTTTTGGGCAATGGCAAAGATTTTAGAAAATTATTTTTAAAAGAAAAAGTATAATAATTATATAGCAAGGTACCAAAAAAGAGGGAGTACTGCTTATTTAGAAAAGATTTACAAATTTGTTAGTGAATCAATGACATCTCCAAAATGTTCAGCTTTAATGATTTCATACCCCAACATAAAAAAATCGAAATAATTAAACCATCTCTCAATTTACTAATATTATTCACAATTCCCTCAAAAACTTAGATTTCTTTCCTTCCAAATAACCAAAAAATTAGACAGGGGAATGAGTCTTGCAATTTCAGTTTTCAGCCCAACACCCCCCCACGCCCAAATCTCATCCTCAATCGAACCAGCCGCTACCCAACAGATGCCTAACAAGCCATACACAAAGCTCCAAAGTTCATAAGCAGTAGGGCACCTAAGCAGAAGGTGACGATGGTCTTCCTTGTCTCTCATGCACATAAAACAGCCATTCAACAAAGTGCAGTCCCTAGCCCTCAGTTTATCCAGGGTTAAAATGCTTTCCCTATAAGCCTCCCATGCAAAGAAAGCCATCCTTGGGGGCGCAGAATTTTTCCAGATTAAATTGCTAGGGAAAATGGAGGAGTTACTCTGTGAATGTGCCATCAGCTTGCAGTAGT